AATATATTTAATAGAGTATTAAAGGAATTACTAAAGAGGAAAGAGATAAATGAAATTACTTAGTACCGAGAGTTTATAAGAGGATTATCTATTCTAGTAAGAAATCGTATTCTTAAGGATATAAATTTCGAGCCTATGGACATTTCTATCTATAAATATAGCAAGATATATAAGAAGGCAGTAATGTCCTATTAGTATAAAGAAAAGAAATGCCGTTTTAATATTACTAATAACCCAGACATATCTAGACTTAGATAAGAATACTTGAATATAGTAGTCTATAATATGGTTCCCAAACCAGAAGATAATTATTCTTTACTAGTTTCTCTTATTATACTTCTTAAAGCTACTATAGGTATGGGTGAGAAGAGAACCCAGCCTGCGACTAATTATACGAAACCTACTAAAAGTAGTAAACCCAAGGGAGATAATATTAACTAGCTAGCGAGAAGTCTGGAAAAACTATTTATTACTACCATAACTCAAGAGGACCTATAGAGATAACTTAATATAGCTACTATTGCAATTCGGGAGGATATCCGTAGCCTGCTCGTATAGCCTAGCCAACCGCAACAAGTATAATAGTATTAATAGCCTAGTAAGTATAATTCGGGTCTTCGGGGAGGATATACTAGAAGTCGTAGTAGAGGTTATAGAGAACGCTATAGTGGCTATAGTAGTCGAGCTAGAATAGGTAGAGGGTCTGGACAACCGTATTCTGGAGGAAATTAGTCTCAAGTATAATTAGAAAATACTACTTAAGTTAATATGGCCTATAGTATGGACCCAGAACCGAGAAAACGAATTTGCTATAGGTACTATAGTAGGGACAAGGATAATAACGTCGACCCAGAATGTGTCTATATCTCTTGGTTCTATTGCCTACTAATAAAAGAACTTATAAACCATAGATATACTTACTAATTTAATAGAAGATGGTATAAAGGGCCATTTAAGCCTGGACAAGAAAGTATTTCCTTTTTCCTTACTAGTAAGTGCCGGTGGTTTAACCAAATCATTTCCCAAGTCCGAGGAGGAGAATTCGACTATAACTTAAATACTCGACCCAAAAATGTCCAGAGATTAATAGGAGATACCTAGTTTACTAGGCAAGAAAGAGAAAAGGGAACTGGCTAACCGGGATCTATATATAGAAGCAAGCAAGTTATACCTAGGGAATCTAAATAGCCGCTTTGCCTTAGAGGAAATTGTATTGGAATTACTAATACTTTAGGTTCTGGAATTAATAGATAGTACCAAGATTTGGCTATAAATAGCGTTTCTATTAATGCTATAACGGGTTCCTTATCGAGGAGAAAGAAAAAAGAGGTAGAAATAGCCAAAGAGGTTTTCCGAAGACGAGCCAGAGTAGAAGAGAAGCTACCCTATATAAGAGGCCAGAAGAATACTACTTCAAGAAGTAATAGACGAGGGGACGGCCTAGCTAAGGATATAAATATTAATGCTTCCGGGGATAAATAGAACGAATTGGGGACCTAATATACTCTTGACTATAATAAATATAGAACTCCTGAAATTAACGAAATTCTAATAAGACTACTAAAGAAAGTAACTATTCCACTTCCAAAGACTCAGAAAGAAACGAGAATGCTTATTAATGCCTTAAAAACGCTAGATCTAGCTACTATACTTTAGAACTAATAAATTAAGGATAATGCTTCCTACCTTACTATCTTGCAAATAGGAAATGCTATTATATTAAGTATAATTAGACATACTAGGAGATCTGCGGAACTGGCGGCTGTGGCTTATATAATAGATAGAATATTTAAGGGATTAGAAATACTAGCTCAGGTGCCCGATACTAATAGAATTATTCGATTTAAAGGTAATAGTATTAATATTCGGACGTTACTGGCTTACAAATATGTCATACAAGCTCTATACCTCCGATTCGTACTTCGAGGACCTCAAGGGAGTATCGAATATAAAGGAATAATTAATACTAGAGCTAAAGTCAATATTCTCCCCGAAAAGATCTCCAGGAATATTAGTAAAGTAGTATATAATACTATAGATTATCGAATATCTACCGCTACTAGGGCAGAATTTGGATTTGCAGGAATAGTAAAGCTTAGAGCTAAGATTATAGACAGAGTAGGATACGAAGATACGTTCTTCCTGGTTAAAGGGGCTCTAAAGATCCTGCTTGATTAACCGTTCTTGGCAAAGATAAAGATAAATATTATATATAGGAGTAACGGTTCGTGGAATAAAAGGTTTACTAATCCTAAAGACGACCAGAATACCTGTACTATTATAATTATTCCACCTTTAAAGAATGCCGGGAAGTAGAAGAAAGTAATAGTTCAAGAGTACCAAGCTCCTAGAGTTAAGGAATTAAGTAATACGGAGCAGGAAACTAAAGGTAAAAAGGAAAAATAGAGCCTGGTATTATAACTAGTAGTAATATTAGGGGAAATAGGAAGACGCCGGGATTTCCTATAGATTCTTTTGTTTTAGGTTTAGGAGTTCAGGAAATTAATAATATTTTTAAAGAAACTAAAGCAGAAAAGGCTCTAATTAGAGTATTATTAAGAGTAGTTCCGGAATTAATAGGAAAAGAAGCAAAAAGGATATTAAATAAAGATATTTCTAAAGAAGAGGTAGAGTAGTATCTCCCAATAATAAAGGAATATATTCCCGAAGCTAAGGAATATTAAACCCAAGACTAGAAAGGATTCTGGAATATATAGGAGCTTAAAGAAGGTACGTCAAAATACCGGACAAAAAGGCACTTTTTGTACCTAACTAGGAAGGAGCTAAGTAGGAAGGTTATAAACTCCGGAGATTAGACAAAAAGGGTACTAGAGAAAATAGCTATAGCTCTTAAAGAAAAAGATAATAACCATAGTCTATTCCTAGTTACGGGAGCATATAAAACAAAGGATAAGAAGGTTTGATTAGTGGATACTAATAATAGAACTAGAGAAGGCCCTAGTAGATGTCCGGACTAGTTTGAGAGATCTAAAGCTAGAGAATACCTATAAGAGCATACTGGGAAGTATAAGGACTACCTTTTACCGAGAATATTAGCTATTCCAAGAGGTTTATGACTTATTCCGGAACGTCTTAAATAATTAGATATTGGCGACTAGCTCTGGGAAGAGGAACTGGCTATATTCCGAGAATTAATAATTAATCGAGAAGGTACTATTATATTTAATTAGAAAGAAGTAGGAAAAGTCTATAAGGATATTAGCTTCCCTATTCTAATTAAGACTATTAAGTATAAAGCCTGGTAAGAGAAGAACTTTCCGTGTCCCAAAGCTCTAGTACTAGTAGTAGTAAAAATGCTATTAGAATGCCTAGATTATAGAGTCCTTAAGAAATATAATAGACCTTACCAAAATCCATGGTTCTTGGTTATAAAGAAGGTTACTAGGACTTATAGACTAATTAATACCGCTATAAAGATGAATTCAGTAACCCTACGGGACGCTAACCTACTCCCGTCTACTAACGAGATCTCGGAGGAATTTGCTAGGTATACTTATATCTCTCTAATTAATTTCTTTTCTGGATATAATTAACTTATACTAGATACTTGTAGTAAAGATTTAACTATATTTATAATGCCTCTGGGGCTATTAAGAATAACTATACTACCTCAGGGAGCTACTAATTCCGTTATATAATTTATACGGGTTATTATAACTATTCTAGAGAATCTATTTCCCAAAATTGCTATATTATTTATTAATAATATTAGAGTCAAGAGACCTTATATAGACTATAATAGGCAGCTTATTTTACCTGGAATTCGGTGTTTTATATTCGAATATCTTCAAAACCTGAATATTACCTTAGATAGAGTCAAATGAGCCGGAGCTAGTATTAGAGAAAAATCACAGTTCTATTATAATAATATAGTTATTATTAGCTTTGTCTATAAAGCACTTGGAAGGAGCCCTTTGAGTTCAGGAATTACCAAGATCTTGAGATAGGAATGTTATAATAGTATAACTAAAGGCAAGGCATTTATTAGAATTATTATTTACTACCGCATTTGGATTAAAGGCTTTATAATTATTATTAAACCTATTTACCGCTTAATAAGGAAAGGTATAATGTGGAACTGGGATAATAAATAAAAGCAAGCTATGCGAATTCTTTAGGAAAAGCTTACCGCTACTCCTATATTCTATAAGTTATACTATAATCTATTAGAAGGCTAGGGAATAATTATATTAGTAGTAAATACTAGCCTGAATAGATAGGGCGGAACTCTTAATTAATATAATAATAAAGGGAAAAAGAGAGTTATATAGTACGAGTCTGGAATCTGGAATAATACTAAATAGAGGTATAATATTACTAAGAGAGAATGCCGAGGGCTAGTAAAGTATCTGTAAAAAGTATGATTCTGGCTATACGGAGTTCACTTTATTCTTAAACTAGATGCTAATATGCTCGTTATATAGCTAAGTAAAGCGGCTACGGATCTTCCTGGGGCTCTGGTTACTTGCTAGCTAGTATGGATTTAACTCTTTGACTTTAAAGTCAAGTATATTAAAGGAACCAAGTATACTGCTACTAACGGATTATTAAGACGCCTATGGCAAGAAGGCAATACTAAAGATAATGAGGATATTAATGAATGGTTAGTAATAGAGCTTAATACTATTGGAATAGTGCCTATTAGGCATAAAATTCGGACGAAGGAAGCAGTTCCGGTTTAGTTACGTAATATTATTTTGAGGAATTAGACTCCTAAGACCTTTACTAGATATTTAGATAATGGTATTCAGTTACTAGAGATTAATAATTAAAGCCTTATTATATCTAGAAGCAAATTAGTAATATTAAAAAATAACAAAATCCGGAAGTTATATGGCAAAGGCCGCGGCCTTTTATATGTAATCTCCGGTAAAATAGTAAACGATAATACTAACTCATACGCTTTACTCAATGACCCGACTATTTCACTAAATCCCTTGGATAATAGCTATTCCGAATAATACTAGAACATTATATAATACCTTATAATACTCTCTAGACCGGAAGAAATGTCTAGAGCCGAGTTTCGAAAGCTAAGCAGAGAAGCTTTAAATTATAGTATAAGAAATCAATTACTCTGGAGAGTTATATCCAAAGCATACCCACCTCGACTTATTATTAATAATCAAGAGTAAAGGGAAATCGTTATTAAAGAGCTATATAATAAGATTAGATATACCGGAAGAGAAAGCACTTTTTGCTTAGTAGCCAGCCGCTATTACTAGGAAGGTTACTATAACTATATACGGAAGTATATTAATGCCTATAAGGTCTATTAATATAAGAGTAAAAGAAGATAAGAAGAAGCTCTATATCTAACGAAAGCTATATTCCTTTTCTATTACCTTGGGATTAATATAGTTAAATTACCAGACTATAAAGGATATGACTCGTTGGTTATTGCCAGAGACGACTTCTCAGGATAGGTTAAGGCTAGATCTTTAAAGAACCTAACTAGTAAGAAGATTACTAAGTTTATTTAGAAAGAAATTATTTGCAGGTATAGTTTATTTAGATAGCTCAAGGTAAACGGCGGATCGGAATTCAAAGGAGCAGTAATTCAGGAACTTAATAAGCTGGGAATTAATAGAATTATTATTTTGGCCTATAATTCCAAAGGAAATAGTATAATTAAAAGAGGGCATTAACTAATTATTTAAGTACTTATTATACTTATAATAGGTAGAAAGAAGCCTTAGATAGATTTACTACTATATATTCTATTTACTAACCGAGTTATTATATATGGACTAACTGGATTTACTCCCTTTTATATAGTCTATAGCAGGGAAGCTATACTACCTGTAGAAACACGCTTTCTAACCTGAAGAATACTTGGGTAAGACGAAGTTTATAATAGAGAAACGCTTCTGGAAATATATATAAAGCAAATACAGATAAGAGATAAAGATATTAAAGAAGCCAGAATAAAGAAGGACAGACAATACCGAGAGGGAAAAGAGTAATTCGATACTATTTACCAGATTTATATAAAGCCTATTTCTAAAAAGGATCTGGTTCTCATATATAATATTAAATTAATAGATTAAGACAAGTCAAGGAATACGAAGCTATTATACTACTAGCTTGGCCCGTATAGAGTAAGGTATACAGATTAACTAAAAGAATACTATATACTAGAAGAGCTTAATAATACTATACTCTAAAGAACATATACCGGGAATTAACTTAAGTAGTTTATTAAAAGAAATGGATTCTAGTACTTCCCTAAAAACGAAATTAATAACGAGTATATACCTATAAATAAGTATTTTAAGATAGATACAGAACTGGAAAAGGAAGCAGTTACAGAGTACTATAAGCGAAATAGTACTCAGGAGATCAAGAAAGCTACCGGCATTATTATATATATTCCAGAGTTACCGGAATCGGAGAAAGCAAAGTACGTCTTCTTTATAGAGGACTGGAAGGAAGTATCCGATAATAGGGACTCTTCTTGACCTAGAACAAAGCTTATTACCTTTAATTCTTTATATATCTTTTATTCCTTCCTCCCGACTATTATTTACAGCCTCTGGAGAATATTATTATTAGACTATTATTCTGGAAACCGGACGAGCTTTACTATTATTTATTTCTTACTATTATCTAATTATTACTACTAGATAGTATTCTACTACTAGATCTTGGGAATCAAATATAAAGGATCCCTTTTAGTACGAAAATGAATAGAGAATCGAGAGGTTACCTTATAGACTCTTGATTCCGAACCATAGTAACGGATAGTAACTATATTTAGAATTAGGGCAAAAGAAAAAGAGAAGAAGAAATATGGCCTTTTATATACGTCTTACCAAGATAAGGATCTTTTGGAAGCTCTACTTGCCTTTTTAACTAGCTACTCTTACGGCTCATACCGGTCTAAAGCTCGACTATAATATCTGTAGATCTCGACTTTAACTTGAACTACTATTACAAGTTTCCTTATAATACCCAAACAAACTTCCTAATTAGGAGTCATATATAGACGGAATAGCTAAACTGGAAGCCTTATAAGAGGAAAGGGAAACCTCATTAAACCTAATAGTCATTTCCGAAAGTGCTTAATAATATGTGATTCTGGGAATCTATTAGATATTAGATAAACTAGATCTGCCTATTTAAAGCCTACTTTATACTAGAAAACCTACTTCTTCTTTAATATAATCGTAGCTATACTCAAGGCATATACCGTAGCTGCTTTAAAAGCATATACTAAGGCTTGGTTAGTATATTATATATTCCTACTTCTATAGAGAACTTCTCTAGTATAGAACCCATTCTCCGACTATAATACCGTTTCATTACTAGGAACCGATTGCTCCTTTGAAAAAGCTAGTATAATTCACTAATTCGTGCTATTAATCTGTTCCTTACTATTAAATATCGTCTAAATAATTCCCATATCCTTAATACCGATTCGGAATACCTAATCTTTCCACGTTCTATATTAACTTTAATATTGACTATTCCAAACTCAATAATAATACTATAAACCCTATTTATACTATCTTATAGTCCTCTTTTCCATATACTCTAATACCTTTAGTATTACCTTTATTAATATAAATATTACTTTAAAATCCCAAATAACTAAACAGTTTTATACTATTTAAAGCCGATTCTAACAAGCACTAAACAAATGCAATTAGCTTTCGGAAGAGATACGGATTAGCTTCGGAAGGAGTAATACCTTATTCTGAGTTATTCCTTAATCCTATTATTCTAATTCCTTTCTATTAATACTCACTTTATATTTTCTCTAATATCTTTAGTATACTTATATATCTTACCTTTTATATATTTCCTATAATATTTCCCTTCTTTTATACTATTTCTTGAGTCAATGGGACGTCTCTAAATAAATGGGGGGTCGGGGCATATCTATATTATAAAATTTTCATTATTTCCTTCTATATTCTAATACTTTAGATACTACTACTATATTTATATTTCCATTATATTACTTTCTTATTTCCCTATTATTACTATTTAGTTTAACCTGTCTTAATTATTTCCTTAATTATATTCCCTTGGGCATATATAGTTATATTCTTTTCCGTAATAAAAGCCTAACTCTATATTTTACCTTCTATAATTATTTCTAATTCGTAATTATATTACCTCAAATATACCTAATTATTATACCTACTTTCCCTATTATATATATTACTATTTCAGCTTTGTTTTCTTACTAGGAAGAAAGAAAAACTCGAATATATGTAACGTATTTATGTAATCCAAGACTATTCTAATTTACTCTTTATTTTAGAATATACTTAAAAGAAATCCTTATAACCTCGAGAACCTTTAACTCTATAACTTATAACTATTATACTAATAATATCTTTATAACCCATTAAGAATAATAAAATGGCCAAAGAACAGATTCCTCAAGTTAGTAAAGCGTAATAGCTAGTCCTTGCAAGCCGCAGTATTATTAAAAGCCTATAGATTAATAGTATTAAAGTTTAGAGTATTAAAGGAGCTTGGGCAGTTATAGAAGGCCTGCTAATACCAGAAAAGATAGCTATAATTACCGAATTTAATACGAATGTCCTAGATAAGCTAAGTAATATGCATAATGAGCTCTTGAAGTAGAAAACCTTTATTAGAGACGGAACTGGACTAGGATTAACTAAGGAGGAGCTAAAGAACTACTAAGCTAATAATAGGGAATTTAAGAATATTATTAAAGGCATTTCCAAAGGCAGATAAGAGAAGCTTAATAAGATTAAGACTATAGTAAATGGTCTTAATACTAAGGGTCAGAATAGAATCATACTATGTAATAAAGCTTTTGGCCAATATATTAATAATGTCTATAATAATCTTGGCAAGAACGTCTATAAGAAGTTGCACTCTTTCTTTAAGACAAAAGCTTTAGTATATGAAGCTATTTAGTTAATTAATAAAGCTACTTTGGAGCATATTAAGGATAAGAAGTATTAGAATACTAGTATATTTACTAAATCAGATATTACTAAGGCACTCAAGCATACTAAAGCTATTTCGGAACCTGGAGAATTAGAGTTTAAGCCACTATTAGCTAATAACCTCAAAGCTGGATAGTATACCTTTAATACTTCCGGAATCCTAATTAAGGGAGCTTATAGTAATAAGCCTTTTCCTGCTTTCCGAGATAAGCCTAAAAAATGAGCCCCTGTTATGATTTCAGCTTTGACTTAACCGGATCTAGCTAAGAAAAATGGAGCTGATTCAATAAAGCTTAGTAAGGAAACTACTAGAAAGAAAACTACTAGTAAGGCTAGCGGAACTAGTATAACTAGATAAGAAGAACCTGGCAAGAATAGAGAGCAAGCTAAGCCTAAGACTCCTAATAGACAGCGGAGATCTGAGTACTAGACTAAGTATAAGGTTAGTAAAATGGAGGAAAGTAAAGAGGAACCCTCTACTTTAAAGGGAAAGACACCGTCTAGAAAGACTCCCTTAACTATACCTAGAACTAAGAAGCGGAAGACCAGGGATATTAAGTCCGGAGAACTTAATAGTAGTATTAAGTATACCTGTAAAATGCTAGCTAAATAGAAATTAATACTTGCTCGGTAAGATAAGTATACCTTTAAGGAAGTATATAGCGGCATTTTGGGACCTATCTATAAGCGAGAATACTATGGGGTTAATAATGGATTCCTTAAAGCTTCCTATATAGGATATATTTAGTAACTTACTAATGCTCTCTCTATTAATATACGAGATATTAAGGATGCTCTAAAGCTGGTTACTAAGATCTACAAAGTCACTAAAGGCAAGAAGCATATTTCCGTTACTTGGGTAGATAAGGAGATACGGGATTTCTTTTTTGAGATATAGGAAATTAAGTAGTATAGATACAAGTACCGTATTTCCGATTGATTCCACCTAAATTTGCAGCTCTAATTCAATACTATAGTTCCTGTTCCTGAGTCTAGTACTACTAATCTGGGTATAAATAGCCATATTTACAAGAAGAATTACCTAAAGTAAATTGAGAAGCTTGGTATTTAAGAACTCTTAATAGTAAAGATAGAGATATTATAGTTCTACCTCCGAAAAGACAATATATTAATATATAGAGATCTAGGCAATAGCTACTTTACCTTAGCCTCTTAACTTTTAATAGCAGATCTATTAATATGGCTTGGATTCTATAAGGTATTAAATAAGTATCCTATTTACCTAATTACTTACCCTTAGCCAGCCTAATACTTTGCTCCTGGAAACGTTAATTATAATTAGTATAAAGGTAATACTAAGGATCTGGCTACTACTAAAGCTTTAAGTAGCGAATTCTACCTTAGTAAAAAGTATCGGAATATTAGCTATATTTTCCTTATAAACCGCAAGAAGGCCGCTATCTTTGGCAAGAAGTTCTTTAAAGATATTAACTACTCCTCTATTTCCGATAAATTTGAGCCAGAAGTAACTAAGGAATTAAGCGAGTATTTACTAAAAGTAGTAGGAGGAAAGACTCCGAGTATAGTCTACTTAACTAGACAAATAAATGCCTTTAGCTAGGTAATCTATAAGTCTGAAATTATGGGAAAGCATTAATTCTCGGATAATATATAAGTCAAAGGATAGCTCAATAACAATTTGCTATTTAATAGGCCTTTTACTATAGTTCTAATAAGTCTAGTTACTATTAAGAATAGAATATGCGAAAATAGAGTCTCCTATAAGATTATTAAAGCCTCTTATCTAGAGCTTTCCCCTCCTACCAAAAGTCGATTTAAGAATATAGCAAATAATACGAAATTTGAAGGAGCCATCCGTTTAGAGTATATTAGTGCGATTTATAATATAATTCGCTATAATAAGCCTCCTTATTACCCTATAGTAAAGGCGGAAATTAAGTAATAGTTAAAGGCGGATACTAATTAATATAGAGAACTATATCGGATTTGGTATAAGAATATAGCTAAGCAGGTTCGGATTGCCTTTGAGCAAGTTCGGGAGTACGAAATAAGATTATTTGAGGGTAATAAGTCTTATTTTAGGTATACGGAGGAGAAATTGGATTAATTAATAGAGGAGGATCCTGAATATTTCATTATTTCGGACTCTAAGTAGGAATTTTCTATTATTTTTGGTATTTAGGGAACAAGTACGAATAAATGGGGGATCAGATGTAGTACGGCAGGCCATACTCGTCAAAAATCATATTATTTTGGCGGTTTTGAGATTTAGGTCACATGGTAAAGGCCGCGGCCTTTTATATGTGACTTGCGGAAATTACATAAGAAAGCTGGTTTTTCTATAGACTTAGAGAATAATCCTTTATAAATATTTAATTAATTAAGCTTTTATATACTATATACTATTTATGCTTTACTATTTATGCTTTTAATTTATTATTTTGCTATTAAGTTACGTTTTGCGCTCTGGTATACTTTATATGGGTTTTTGTCTTATTATAGTTTCCCTCTTATAATAAGTACAAATAACTATAACTTTCCTAGATAATAAAGTAGTTCTAATAGTATTTAAACTCCTATCTAATTATTATATCTCTATTATACTAGAATAAGACTTTATTTTTAATAAATATATATATATAAGATATCTAGAATTAATCCGGGAGATTTCGAATTATAATTCTAGAGATAAATTAATACTAATAGGCTATAAAAAGAGCTAATCTAAAAGAAAAGAAACTAGGAAAAGTACTATATCTTATAAAATAAATAACCTCAAAAGATAAATTAAATAGAATATTAAATATTAGAATAAATAGAAGGCCTTTCCTGAGAAATAAAACCAGGAGAACTCCTAAAGAAAATAGTATTAGTAATATAGAAACCCAAGCTAGTAGTCTAGCCCACTTCTTATAAATTACAAACCTCAAGAGTCTTGCTATATACTACTCTTACCGGGAAAAAACGGTATAAAAGAAATATAAAACAATCTCTATTTCAGTAACTTTAGTAAAAATAAGGCAAATTAATAGTAAAATAAATAGCCAAAATAATTTCTCTTTTAATATTCTAAAAGAATTTAAATAAAAATATCTGGGTTAGAATAAGTATATAAATAATATAATAGTATTTTCTATATAAATCTTATAAGTTTAGAGCTATAGGCTAATATTTTCAGGGACTTATTATCTTATAAGTTACAAGTCCAGTTATAAAATAAGTCTAGGTTTTATAGTAAATTTAGTAAGTATATTTCTATTCTATTTCTTTATAAGGTAAATAAGATTTTAACTAATTAAATCTTTTTAGAAAAGAAGATTATATACTAGGAATTCCTTAATAAACTAAATAAATATAGAAGATATAAAGCCTATTAAGAAAGATATAATATATTATAATATATTATATACGAGTCTAGAATATTTATTTACTATCTTATAAGAGCTTGCGGTATTACTCGTTATATATATAACTTTTACTCTATTAACCCTACCAAAATCGCGATTTTTTAGCCTATACTTTAATACGATATTTAAAATAATTAAAGTACTTAATTTATTAAGTATTTAGTATATAGTAGCTATACCCTTACTAATAATTACATCCTCTATCTTACAAGTAAGCCTCTCTATTAAATATTACTATTCTACTAGATTAACTTTATTTTATAGCTCTTATAAGACCTCCTTTATATCCTTAATTAAGGTAGGAACAGTTTCTAACTTAGTAACCTCATTTTTTATTTATTACCAGATCTTCTTAATTGAATTAAATTAGAAAAAGAGAGAGGCTAATTAAACCCATATAAACCACGTAATTTACGAGGTAGTTTTACTATACTTTTATAAATCTTTGCCTTATTCTTTATAAATAAAAACTCCTCCTTCTGCTTTATAGACAGGGAATCAAACTAAGGAAAAACAATAGGATTAAGGACTTAGTTTAAGTAGGCTATACTATAGACTTCTTTTTTCCCTGGCTCTTTTACTAAAAAAATAAGCAGGGACTTCTAATCCTAACTAATTACTCCCTATACTATTATATTTACTTTCCTACTCCTATATATAGATTACATATAGTCTAGGTAATTCTTTTTGTCCGGCCGATATATAACCCAGATTCTTTCTCTTTTCCTAGTCTCAAATATAGCCTCATTACTTTATATAACCTTCTTCTAATCTACTATACCCTACTACTAGTATTTTTTCGCAAATACAAGTTGCTTTTTAGCTTGTTTCTTAGAAATAAAGGAACAACGGCAGGCAATATAATAATAATACCTATACTCTTTTATTACTCGGCGAATTATTATAATCGAGGCTTCTAATTTAAGCTCGTATTTAATTCGTTCCTAGGACTTAATACAATTAGTTCAGGACTCAGAGACGAATCGGAAAATACGCTTTATATTAGCTTATTTAAGAACGGGGCGCTTGTTAGCGAGGCCTTTTCGCATTATACGGGAGGTAGGGGCCTTAATAATATACTAAATTATGGACTTGGAAAGGCCTATAGCCTTCCTGATTTAGCTATAGCTTTTCTCTTACTAGCGGAGGGTACGGACAGTAGTACGAATAGGAGTTTTCCAGTTCTCATTAGGCTAGTACTTCATAAGAACCTCTGGAGAGAGGATATTTGAGATATCTGAGTCTGAATCTGAGGTTAAGTCTTCCATTCTAATAAATTACACAATAATTAAAGAAGAAAAATAGTGGTTTGTGGGGAAAAAAGCGGTAAAGTGTGGGTTTTGGTGAGGGGTAGTCACGTGTTCGCTTAGGTGTACGACGAGCAATGCCGCAAGCTCTTACGATTCGCGTGTGAAAACGGAATCAGCTTACAGCGGGTCCTTGAGGTTGCTACAGGTTATAAAAGGACGCGAGTTCTTCTTGGATAAAATACATGCAACTCCGAATTTGGGTATCCTCCCTTCCCTGAAAACCCCTTCTTCCATCCAGATAATGGCGGAAATTCCATCTACCGAAGGTGAAGTAGATTTTCACGTCGAAGGAGCTGGAAAACAATGTAAAAAGGTATGTTAATCAATATTTCTGTATTTTATTACTTCGACTTTATTAGCCTTACTATCTTCCAAAGATTTTCTGCCACTTTTATATCAGCCTCTTCCAAGTGAGGGTTCTGGGATTGAAATTGATACTGCTTTAATTCGGTGAGAACAGGGAATACAATTCTCAGTTCCCCACTTTTCCTCCCGTATTGGCTATTTCTTCCACCTCTAGAGCTAATTATGAACAAAGTGGTACAAAATCTTCGGGGAATTCCCGTCTCCTATGGGGATTCCACCCCTAATAGTCCTTCACGGTGGCCCAGGCGTTCCGCATAACACTCTCCTTCCCCTTAAACACCTCGTCACAACCAACAACGTCCCCGTAATTCTCTATAACCAAATAGGCTGCGGCCAATCTACTCATTTGCCCGAGAAGAGAGGTGATGAATTTTTCTGGACTGTAGATCTCTTTTTAAACGAGCTAGAGAATCTTCTCAAATATCTTGGAATTACGGGGGAATATGACCTGGATGGACACAGTGCCGGAGGAGTTTTAGCGTCTGAATGGGAAGTGAGAAGACCGAAGGGGCTGAGGAGACTGGTGCTGTCGAGTACACTAGCTACTAGTTCCTTCTTGTCTATCCGTCTTCGGTCATCTCATGGGAAAGATTCAGGCGAATACTCCCCTAGAGCCCCTTCTCATGGAAACTATGATAAAACTCCGCTCGGAGCTTCCCAAAGAAACTCAGGATATATTGATCAAGCACGAAGATGATGGCACACTTGATAGCCCAGAGTACCAGCAAGCGAATATGCTCTTCGCCAGCAAACATATGCTCCGAATCACCCCCCTGCCGGAGGAGTTCCTAGCTTCAATGAAGGCCTTAAAGGAAGACAACACTGTGAACTTCACCATGTAAGATCCCCTCCTCCCTGAACCTCTCTATCCCTTATCCCCTTAAAGAAAAGCAAGTCGAGAGACTGATTGAAGGAAATCAATAGGAACGGGGCTTACAGGTTCAAATGCACCGGAAGCACAAAAGTCGAAGGGCCTCCTAACAGCCTATCACTCTTTGAAAAGTTATTCCAGGCGGTCTATAGTCCGCGAAGATGTCTCCGTAGCGCCTCAAAGCGCTCTTGAAGGAGACCGGCGCTACTTCGAGAGCTTATAGAGGAGAGCATAGTAGCTACGAAATTGTTGAAACCTTATATTTCAGTAACACGACCATTTTAGCCGTTTATCCGATGTAAGACGATGCTAGAATTGGCATTTCAAAAAGTCGCTCCATCCGACCCACTGTGACGGAATATTCTAGAGTGTGTTTCGTGACACGTAATTCAGACGTGTGACTCACTATAATAGAACATTCTAGACTCTGTTTTGATCCTATTCAAGCTTTTGATAACGCAGGCTTTGAGATGTGCTTTCTATACTAGCGTGCCCCTCCTTCCAGATGCTCATCTTAGCAGCTGCTTTGTAAGGGGCAGCTGTTTTAGGCGGGTAGGGCTGGTTCGTGCCACTATGTCATCTGATGTCAATATTGATTTGCCAATTATTACGAAGCTGAACAGGCCCAGTGGAACTTTCAATTAATTAACTCACGTTATTATTAGCCTTGTTGGTTCAATAGATTAGTAATGGATTAGAAAATTTGCTGCTAAACAGGGTAGCACTATTCAAAAAGCGAGGTGATTAGTGTAATGGACTTCCCGGCATTATCTTAACGAAGACTATCCAAAAACCGAGACAATCCCAAACAAACGAGATAATCTCACGGGCGAATTCCACTGGTTTCTACGTACCATTTAGTTTGTACGCACCACTTAGTTTCTGCGTACCACCTAGTTTTTACACACTACCTGTCGTACACACGCTATTGGCTGAAATTAGCGAACCAGTTTATCCTAACGCTAGCTCTATGTAACGGCAGTCGTCACATGATTGTCAGCTGACTGGTTTCACTAACTAGGCTCGGCGTTTCAGCGGTTTCAGTCGTGTCTACTTCTTCCCTCTACACCTCACTCTCTCCTTCCCTTATTAGCTTTGTATTTTAAAAGACATTCGAACTTAGATCTTTGAGCCTCGACCATTGCTTTGTTCCTGCCGTTACACTCTACCGCGCAACCGAACCAGTAAGTGTCATTAATTGAATTATAATTTCTAGTCTTATTTCCTAATACTTATAGGCCTCTAATTTAAGCTTTAACTAGGTTAAAGTAGTAGCGCAAAGAATAGAGGTTTTTAAAGGAATAACCTTTAATTAGATTAGATATAGTAAGTCTTTTAAAGATTATTAGAGCTAAATAACTTAGAAATGCTTTTGAAAGTAAAATATTCTTAGAAAAAAACTAAGTATATTCCCGCTTAGTACCTTAGTATAATAATAGGCTTAAGGTAAATATAAAAGCAGTCTCTATAATTATATAAAGTAATTATATAGTTTAAAAGAAGCTATTAATATTATTAAATTACTATTATTAATAATTTATTTATATTAAGGCATTATTAATATAAATAAGTAATTAATAAAAGAAACTAGTAATATAAAGAAAGTATTAGTACTATTATATTACTAGTATAAATAATTTATTAGTATTAAAAAACTACTAATATAATTAAATTACTAGTATAAATAATTTATTAATAAAGTAAATAATTATTACTTCTATTTTACTTAATATAAATAATAACTAAATAGTTATTATTATTAAAATAATACTTCCTTAAGTTTAAATAATAAATAATTAATCTTTTATACTTCTTTTAAAACGCTTATTTTAATATAATCTTCTTATTATTTTACTTTTATATATAAGTAAAATTAGTAATATTCTTATATAAATAACTCGTAATAAAAGTATTAAAGGAACTTATTATTCTCTTAATATTTACTTGCTTTTTAAGACTAGCTCTTAAGATTTAATTAAAGATTTAATGCCTTATAGTTCTTAAACTTTAAATCTTAAAGCTAGAATTTCTTAATAATAAATAATAGTATTTACTTATATTATATAGTATAATTATTATAAGTACTATAAGATATAAATTAAAATTCACGTAGCTATATTTATAATAACTTGGTTTATAATAATATAATTAATTAAGTTAAGTTCTATTATAAAGAAGCTATTTATATTATCTAATATAAAGCTAGTCTCTTTATATAATTCCACGTAATTTCTCTTTTTCTCTCTTATTACCTTATTTATTCTAATACTAATAGCTCTTCTTTTATAGTAAGAAGCTCTTATATAAGAGTAGCTTTTCTCTTATAAAAAGTATTACTCTTATTTAAAGAGGCTTTTTCTTTAAGAATGCTTTTTTCCCTATCTTTTTTTCTAACTCCCTTATTTCCTCTTTATCTATTTCTTAACTTATATATAAATCTAATTAGTTAATATAAAGGTTTCTAAGGCCTTATTTAGTATAGCTTTTATTATTATATTAATAGAATTATTAAAACTATTAATTTACTAAATCTTAAAGAGTTTATATTATTTATATAATTAATAAAGGACTATAATATTAATTATTAGTTACTTTTTTTTAATTATACCGAGTTTTATAAAATACTTATATAATAAATATAAGTTAGTATAGATAATAATTAGAAGAGTTAATAAATCTAGTTAGTTAGTAATCTTTACTAGGGTTTAGCTAAATATATAAATAAGGTTAGTACTAGTAACTATTTTATATATTTCTAATATAAGTATACGAGTTTAGGGCCGCTTTGCTAAAATTATTGCTAGCGGCCCTATGCAAGCTCCGGGGCTAGTAATAATTTTGCCCTAAACTTGTCCCGAGTAGCTTTAAATAATACTTCTTAGTAATAAACTTATTAAAAGCTTTTAATAAATTATATAAGAAAGAAAATAGCTTATAAATATATAAAATTATTTATAAATAAGCTAAAACTATTTTTTTAATTTATATTTTATATATAATTTCTTTTTAATTATTATTAAAATATTTAATAAAATCTAAATTATAATAAATTTAAATTTAAAATATTATTTTATAATTTATTAAAAGAATTTAAGTTTTAAATTATATAAAAAAATCTTAATATTTTTTAATTATTAAATTTTAATAATATAAGTACTTTTAATAAAAACTAAAATATTAATTTAAATATATATAAATTATTAATAAAATAAAAGTTTATTAAGTTTTATATAAGATTTAAATTATATTTATATAATCTTTTTATTTATTATAATAAACTCTTTATAAATATATAAAAGTATTTTAATTTTAATTAATATATAAATATAAAATTATAAAAAATAAAATACTAATTTTCTTATATAAAAAGTTAAAATTATTATTTAATTTATTTATATATTATTTATTAATATATTAAATAATTTAATTTAAATAAAATTAAGGCTAGTTATATTTAAAGTTATTTAAAGCTTATTTTATAAATAAAAATATTTATATTATTTATATTTATATTAATTAATATTTAAAAGCTTTTATTAAAATATTTAGTCTTTTATCTTATATATTAGATCTAATTTACTTTCTTATTTCGTTCTCGGTATATATTATATATAAAGAACTAGCCAAAGTTTATAAAAGGCTTTTTTTAATTATAAAAGAAATAGTATTACTTTATAGGCTATTTACCGGAGCTATAAAGTATTTCCGGCTCTTTTACGGGCTCTTTTAAGTCTTATTTTCACTTATAAAGCTCTTCTTTTTTACTTATAGGCCTCTTATTACTCGTACTCTTACCCGTAACTCCCTTTTAAACCTTACTCTTATCCGTAAAGCCCTCTCTTTTTTTTTACGGACCCTTTTAAGCCTTACTCCTATATATAAAGCTTTCTCTTTCCTCCTATAGACCCTTCCAAGCCTTACTCTCACTTGCAGAGCTTTCCCTCCCCTCTTATAAGCCCTTTCAAGTCTCACTTCTACTTGCAAAGCTTCCTCTTTCTTCTTATAGGCCCTCCTAAACTTTACTCTTACTTGTAAGGCTTCTACTTATAGAGCTCCTTTTCACTTATAGGCTCTTCCAAGCCTTACTTCTACTTGCAAAGCTCTCTCCTTCTTGTAAGCTCTTTTATATAAGTATATAAGAACCTGTAATTTTTAAAGGCTTATATTTAAATAATTATTAACTTCTAAAGGCTATTTTCTATTATTTTTTATAAGATACCCGTAGCGTTTCCTTGCCCTTGCCTCCCTAAGCTCTTGCTCGCCCGATTCCTTACTACGGGCTTATATATGCCTCTAAAGCTTATCTCTAGTAGGCTTATTCTCAAGTCTTAATATTCTTACTTACTTCTTTCTTTAAATCCTATATTAATGATTTGACTTTTCCTTCCGTTTTCGATATATAGAGTATATAAAGAAATATCCAAATTCAGAAGAAGGTCGTTTTTAATTATAACTAGAGCAGTATTCTAAGAAGAAAGATTAATAAGTATTTACGGACAGGTTTTCCTACTTATGGGCTATAGGCTCGTCTATAAGCTGGCCCGCAGGCATTTCTTCGTCCGTAAATTAATCCACAGATATCTCTTTATTCGCAGGTCCCTTTTCTTTGTCTATAGCTCCCTCTTCTTTGTCCGCAGGTCTCTCTTCTTTGTCTGCAGGTCTCTCTTCTTTGTCCGTAAGTCCTTCTTCTTTATCCGTAAGCCCCTCCTCCCTTTATATCTCCAAATATTAGCTAGCCATAAGCTAGTAATACGTTTCCTATAGCTCTTGCTTATACTCGTACTCGTACTCTTGCTCCCCCCTCTTATACTCGTCCGTAAACTGCCATATATTAGCCCTATTCCTTAGCTCTTTGCAAGCTCTTACCGGATCGTTCTCCTTCCATTGCCTCTCTTGCTTTCTCTCCTACTACTTCTCCTCCTTATGCCACTGCCATTCGTCTTCTTGCAATCGAGCTTAGAGCTTCCTTTCCTTGTCCCAAGCCTGCCATTATACTTTTGCTTTTGTTCGTACCTCCTTTAAGTCTATAGGATCCCATATCCCACGCATTTGTACCTGTAGCTTTGCTCTCTTTACCCATAAGACCCGCCGGTTATACCTTTCTTATATAAACTCGCCCGTAGCCTTACGGTATTAGTTATACTTTCGTATAAGGCAGATTTCGCAAATATAAAGTTAATATCCGTTCTTGTAAAAAGGGAAGCTTGTAATTGGGCGAAAGGACTTGTATCCAGAGTAGTATAGCCAATTTAAAGAAAGAGTATCTATTAGAAAGTCTATAAAAGGGAGCCTGTAAAGCTTATGGAAATGAGCCTATAGAGCTTACGGAGCCAGTAAAGCTTGTGGGAGGAGCTAGAAGTTTTAGTATTCCCATATAGACCCTATTACGTAATAGTGTCCGTTTTTTCCGGAAAATAGCATTAATATAAGAGAGGATTTCTTATTACTTTCTTACTTTTAGTCGAGCTCTAATAAATTAAATTATTATAGAATATAAACTTATTCTCTCTTATATTTGCCTTATTAGTTAGAATAACTTCGAATCTAATATAAGAGCTTAAATCTTTATTATTAGTAAATAAGCCATTAATAAATATATAAAGCTTAGCTATTAAAAAGCTTAATTTAATATATTTAAGGCCTCGATTAAGACTCTTTAATTACTATTCGAGTCTTTTATTTAATACTATAATATTGTCTTAAATTAGCTCTTAGTATTATATAATTACTAATAAGTCAAATATAGCTTTAGATTAATAAATTAATATAATATATACTTTATAGATATATTATTATATATATTTCTATTTAAAGTCTAAGCTACTAGTATTAATAAATTAAATCTTTATATCCTAGCCTTTCTAATATAAACTTAGTATACTTTCTTTAATTAATAGAATATAGCTATTAAACTATAGAGTATTTATACTATTTAGAATTTCTTTTAACTTTATTATAAACTTAGTATTCTTAAGTTCTTTATTCTTAAAAATAGTAAATCTTAAATTTAATAAACTAAAAGTATTATTTATTTATATTATAATAAAATTAAATTTCTCTTTATTAATTAAAATTCAGAAGTAAGAGTTATATATAAAAGAATTTATAGAAAGCTTTTCTCTATAATACTTTAAATATATAATCTACTAATATATTCTAGCTTTTATAATATTATATAATAGCTTTAGTATAACTATAATTATTTTCTTTAGGTATTAGTTCTTAATCTCTTTTAGAAGGCATATAAGAATTTAATATTAAAGAAAAGTTATTAATTAAATATATATTTAGGTAATATCTTAAAGCTAGAAATATATACTTTTATTAAGGAAAGTTAGTATAATTATAATAAGTAACCTTTAACTAGCTCTCTAAATTATTAGTAATTAAGTTAAGACAAACTCTTTACTAGTATTATTATATACTTAAATAACGAGTCGCGACTTTTTATATAATATAGTTATTTACTTTCTTTTAATTTATTATATAATTTATAACTTAAAGATTCTCTAATTTCTATATTTCTACTTATTATATTATATAAAAGTAAATACTTTATATATAACTAGACTATTAATTTCCTTTCTACTAGCTTATTTAAATAGTATTCTAAGTATATTAATTACTTCTTCTTATTAAAGCTTAAGAAATAGATTAAAATTAGCTTTTTCTTTAGTTATAAGAAATATAGTATTTTTCTTTAATTAATAATATTCTTACTTTTATATAACTATTTCTAGTATTATAATAATTATTATATTATATAATATATTTTAATAATTAATAGTTATATAAGTCGATTTATTAGTATAATATAGTTTTATAATTATTATTTAAAAGTTTATTAGTTTATATAGTATTTGAATTATATATATCTTTTTACTTATTATAATTAGCTTATATAGCCTATTCTAATTACTTTTCTTATAATATACTAGAATATTAAATTATAAGAGATTATATATCTTATTTATATTTGAACTATTTTATATTAATAAAGTATTATTAATAGCTTTTACTATTATTTATAATATTATATCTTTATTAGTTAATAATAGTTTAGTATTTAAAATCTTATATATATAATATAAAGGGCTATAATATTATTTAATTTTCTTAATATTATTATAAGCCTTAATAAATATCTCTTTATTCTCGATATTTAAACTTAAAGTATATTACTTAAATTCTTCTAATATAAAATTCTTTCTAGTATTACTAACTATAGTATTAAATAGTTTCTAATATATATTAATCTAGTAAATTCTTAGTATTTTCTAAATTGTTTCTATATTTATATTATATAAAAACCTAATAGTTTAGAATACTATAGCCTTATTAACTATATAAAGAACTAGCTTATTTTTAAAATATATTATATCTATAATAATATAATAATTAAATTCGTAGTTATTCTTTAGTATAAATTTAAATTAACTAGATATCTTTTTATATAACTAATATTAGTAATAGTATTTTATAAGTTATTTAATTATTTATTACTTAATATTATTATAGCTTACTTTCTATAAAATTTAAGTTAGATATTATATAGATAAGTAACTAAATTATTAATAAAGTTAATATAATTCTATTTTTATAAAATAATTTTATATAATTATTTCTTTTTTATATTAGAATAGTATTTATAGATATTTCTATTTTTATATAATAAGAATAATATTATTTCTTTAAACTAGCTTATTTATTAAGTTATTAGGTCTTACTTTTAATTTATTTATATCTTAAATATAAAATAAGAATAATATATTTACTAATATAATATAAAATATAATTATCTTAATAAATATATTAACTTTAATTATTTCTTAGAAAATAACTTCTCTTTTACTAAATTTAATCTTATACTAGCCTATTATACTTATATTGAGTTAGAATAATAGAATTAGCTTTTTAAGAGCTAAGAATTAAAGTTCTTCTATTATTAATAAGCTTAATATATTACTATTAAATATAATACTTTAAAAGTTTTCTAATAAATATTAATTAAATATAAATATAGAATATAAATCTATTATAGTTTCTAATTTACTAAAGATATCTATTCTTATAATTATATAAAAGGCTATTTAATTATTTAGAATTTCTATTATTTCTTAATTATTAATTTCTCTAAGCTCTATTATATAATTATTAAAATCGAGTTACTATTTACTATTTTTCTAATCTATAATAAGCTATTTATTAATACTAGATATATTATTAGTTAATCTTTTAACTTCTTTTATTTCTATAAGAAAGCTCTAATAATAAATATAAAAGAGATTCGGATTTTAAGAATACTACTTAAATTTCTTATATATTTATTAATACTTCTTAGTAATATATTTTATTAACTAATAGCCTATTTAATTATATATATAATATCTCTAATAATATATATTATTATTTCTATTATTATTTTAAAACTATTTTAAGCTATTATTATAATAGCTCTAGCTATAAAAATAAGAAAAACTATAACTTTTGCTTTAATAATTACTATAGCTTCTATATATATAATTAGTTTATTAGGCCTTATTATTTTCTTATTTCTAAATAGCTATAGAAAACTATTATAATTATTAAGCTTCTTAGTTTTATATAGCTATTTCTATTATAGAATATAGCTATTATAGATATAATATTTAAGGCTTAGAAAGTAAAATAAAAGGTTTTTTATAAAAATAATTTAAAGCTAAGAAAATAAAAACTAGAATATAAGAAATTATAGAAATATATATATATCTTATAATATACTAATTTATATAAAGCTTAGCTTTCTAAATTTCCCTAGATATACTTTATTTAGATTCCCTTAATAAAGTAGTTATATTATATAATAGTATGAAATATATAAAATATAGTTAAATAACTAGATAGAATATTATTATAATTACTTTTTTCTTTAGAATAGGCTTGCTTTTAAGTTTAGAAAAAGCTATTATCTCTATTATTTTTAGTATTTTCAGTGTTTTTTATAATATATACATATATATATTATAATTATAAATATATCTAAGATTATATAACTTATAAAAATATATTATTATTTTTATATAATTATAGTTAAATATTATTACTTATATAATCTAGCTAATATATGAGGTTATATAAGAGTTCTAATAGTTTAGTATTATTATAGTAGAGATTTAGTAAATATAAAATTAATTAAATATTTATATATAATTTCTTAGCTTTTTATTTTCTTTAGTATTTAGTATTCTACTTTTTTAATAAAAGGAAATCTTAAATAACTTAATATATACTTTATTTATATAATATCTTCTTAATTTATATGTATACTTATTTAATTTATTATTATATATTATATTTCTATAATTCCCTCTTTATTAGTAAATAATATAGAAATAATTTTAATATAAATTAACTTTTTTTTATAGAAGTAAACTAATAGTTTTTTAATATAATAAATATAATAAACCCTAAGAAAAAGAAAAACTAATAAAAGATAGGAAATTTAATATAGAAAATAGTAAGTATTACTAGAGACTCTAAGAAATATAGAGATTATAAAAAAGAGAATAAAAGAAGTATTAAAGTAAAAACCAGAGCTTATAAAACTAATATAAAGAAACCGAGATAGTTAATATAATATTATAGAAATAGTATCTTAGAACTAATATTTAATAGCTAGAATAATATTATTATAGGATCTAAGACTATAACTAAAATAACTAAACTATTACTTTAGAAAAATCAGAAACTAGCTAAGCTTGAGAAGCTTTTTAAATATATAATATATAAACTAATATAGTTACTATTAGTTATACTAGTAATATTAGTAAAAGTAGTTAGAAGAATTACTAAGATACTTAACTACTTAACTCGAAAATTCTTATTAAGCTTAGCTTAAAAAGAAATAAATATAATAATTTCCTAAAGAAAAAGAAATTTAGTACTTTAATTTATAGATAACTTATTTAAAGATAAATAGAAAACTAAACTCTTATATTTAAGACTATTAGAAAGAAAATCACGAAAATACAAATACTTTTCTAATATTACTAATTAAAAAGAATAAGAACGTATTAGATTACTAGTTAAGAAAAAATAACTCTAATTTATAGAAAATATATCTAAACTAAACTCTTCTTTATTTATAACTACTTTTAATAATACCCTAAATAATACTTTATCTTATATTAGAATTCCCTTTAAAGAAATACTAATATATATATTATTAAATCTAATTATACTATTTATAATATTAAGTACTATTTTATTTTATTTCTCGTTATTTATATTAGATTTAGAAAGTATTCTAATCTTTACTAGATTTAATATAACTAACTTCCTTAATTACTATATAGATTTATATAATATCTATTTTATTAATAATAAGAATACTAAGCTATTTAGATATTATAATACTATTTATAAAGAGATTATTAAGTTATTAACTAAATTTAGTAAAAAAGATAAGATATAGGAAAATCTTATAGATATATTAAAGGCTAAGTTCTAGTTCAAAAAAAGCTATTAATTAATCTATTCTATAAGTTTTCTTTCTAAGTTTATTAAGATTAATTAAAATAGCTAAAGTATTAAAAACTACTATTATTAGTATATATTTATCTCTATTATATTAGTAGAAAAAAAGGTTCTTTCTAAAATTAACTAAGGCTGCCTTTTCTTT